AATAAAATTGAACATGTGCAGGGCTGGACAGCAATTGTATCCTGAAGGCAGGTACACCTTGTTTTCCCTTCCCAGAGCTCACAGCAAACATCCACCAGTCAGAAGAACAACGAGCTGGGGGGGAAGGTTTCTGACAGCGTGCAGGCCCCCTGGCTTGTTACTCACCTTAAGACCTTGACCGGCAACAATATTTCTGTACACATTTTGATATTTTAATGAAAGAACCCAAACTAGCTGAATTTCAGTAAATGTGCAAAGGGGCTCTACCAGTCACCTAATCTCCCCCACTACTCTTTTCATTTTCACTACCCGGGATAACATTATCAAGGTAAGTACCTATTTTTGTATTTTGAGGACAAAGGGCAATGAAAATTTAAAGGGCACTAACAACTTTAATAAGATTATGCCAGAAAACGCTATTAAAGTAATAAGATTATACCTGAAGATATATGGGTTGTTTTAATTAGCCCAGACTGGTAGACAATATATTTAGATTATCCTTCCTCCAGAAAGAAGAGTCTTTTAAGTAGCTGAATGAGCTGCTTTCTGACTTCAATCTAGGCTTTAAAATTTAAATAAGTAAATAAATTCCAGACAACTAGAAAAAATATCACTTCGGGAACACCAGTGCCACGAATTCAAAGCTCAACAGGACACCTGGAAGAAAAGAGCCCCTGGGCCCACTGTTACCATCACCACTGTCTGCGTCGTCCTTCAAGTCCTTTGGGACAAAGACCCGACATTTTCCCCCAAACAACGCAGAATGCATTTCTACAGTTTTCTTTTTGTTTATTCTTTGTTTCATTCTTTTCTGATTTCTTTCCTTTTTTAAAAAAACTGCAAGTTATAATAAGCACCACTAAGATTCAACAGAAAACAATGAGCTAACCATCCTATGCTGAGGATAGAATCAACAGTCATACCTCATATCTACAGCTGTTTCCTCCTCAAAATTGAGAGAGAAAGAAAGGGAAAACATTAGACCCAAATCATCATCATCTATCAGAAGTTACACTGGAATATAACTGCCATTACAGAACAAGAATATACACTTTAACAGGGTACGGGGTGGTGGAGGGGGGTGGTACAGGGAATACACCATTATACATGCTAGTCTTAAAATTTTATTTAGAATGAATTACATAAAACTGCCATATTTCAAAGACTGGGCTTTATTATCGATTAACAGCATAATGAAACTGTGAAAAATTATTCTGCTAGAATGGTTTTATATATTAGGTGTAAAAATCTTTCCTATATAATCTAAATTTAATTTGTATTTTCAGACCCTTTGGATAAAAAACTATTTCTGGTATAAAAGTAAAAATTGAAATGAACTCTGGTAAATATATATTCACCTCACACTCCCAAGTGACACTGGTAAATTTACTTATTTATATAGAGAATTATACCCAAATTTAGCACAGGTAAATGTAATGTATCTTTCAATGAAAGCAGATTTCCCACTGCAATTATTAAAAGAGGAACATTTAAAAGTTTTAAGGAAATCTTAAAGAAGAGGCTGCTACTGTTGGTCATTGGTCAAAAACGTCTGCAAATAATTTTATTCTTGAAGTAGATGGATCCTATTAACATTGTATTTTATTAAATTATTTCGTTTTAAATTTTATTTAGTTATTTCTAAAGTATGTTTAATCTAGCAATTAAAATTGAAGTTATATGGTACAATAAACTTGAAATACTCAAAATATACGTGTAGATTTAACAATTAAATAATTATTACCACAGGAGAAAATGAAGAATTTCAATCAGATTAATTTGAGATTTTTCTCTTTTCTAATGGAATGGAGACGATGACACCAATTACTAAAGAGACCAATTTTCAGTTTTATGCTAACTAAAACGTCACTAATAAACAGGTCTACTTTTATTGACAAAGTTATTTGAAACTAGATTGATTAAACCTGCTTGCTTTACAACAGATATTTATATGTTATAATTTGAGCAGAGTTAGGGAAAGGAAGGCACTAGGATTCAGTGCTAGGTAAAGGAGTGGGAAATAAAAGTGGTTCTACCAGCGAGCTATTGACTATTCTCCAGTCCAGTGGTTCTCCAAGTGTGGTCCCTGGAGTAGCAGCATCCACATAACCGGGGAACTTGTTAGAAATGCAAATTCTCAGGTACTACCCCAGATCTACTGAATCAGAAGATGGGGCTGGGGGGAGGCGGGTCTGTCATCTGTGTTTAACAAGCCCTCCTGGAGATTCTGAGGTCCACTCAAGTGTGAGAACCACTGCTCCAGGGTGTAAATCCATGTCCTTCATCATCTGACCTAACCACGTTACTGCACAATTTTTTTCTCTAGTGTTTGCAACTGTAACAGGATTAATAATCAAGAAGATGGAGCCCAGAAAAGTTTCACAATTTTAAAACTGGGGCTGGAAATGGAGAACAAGGTAGTAAACCTCTGGCTGTAAGTGAGCCACGGTAAGGGACTGAGAGGACTCAGAAAGCCTACTCCCAAAAGATGGTGGTTCCATTTACAGTCAACAAGGAAAAGAACATTCTCACTGGCTGTGAAGTTAAACTGTGTGTTAAATTCCAAGCAGGGGAAACTGTCCAAAAAATGAGAAGCATCAGGGGAAGGAGATAGAAGAATTTAAAAAGGAAAAAGAAAAGCAAGCAAATGCATGTGTGCGTGCGTGTGGGTGCACGCACACACACACCACAATCCAGGGAAGTCAGTGGCAAAGAGAAGGGGCAGCAGCAACTAGGACGGTTTGTATCTGAGGATCCTGAAAGGAATTCAAAATAGCTCTACATGAGAGAGACAAAGAGTCCTATAAATTTACAAGCACTTATAGGCATCTTGAGGGCAGAATAACATGCCAGCTACAAGAGCTGTAGTTATTGAAAGGTCAAATAAAGTCCACTTCATTCTTATTTCAGGTAACACTATGTAAAGGTATGCACACCAGAGTACAATGCACACGTGTGGGGTAAACGCCCTGCCCCCATGTTACACAGTGAAAGTCAAACAGAATACTGTATTGCAGCCCATACAATAAAGAGGATCTTCTCAAATGAAGATCCACCCTTCTCCATATCATAAAACACAAAACAAAAACAAAACATTTCCCCTTTCACTTTATAGCCACAAGAAGATGGGTGAAGTTTTAAAGATAACTTTTAAGAAGCCAAGGAAACCCAACAGTAGCATATGAAATGAAAGCAGTTACTGAACACAGGCATTTGAAAAACCAGGCTCTCATCCAACTTAGTCACAAATCCCACCACAAGGCATCTGCTAACAAAGGCCTCCAACTTTGTAGGCTTTCTCGGACTATCTCACTTATCCTGTAAACTACATAAGGGAACTCACACACTATTATCTGTGCGTAAATTAACAGATTTACTGTGAGGTATTTTATTATATGTAATAATGAATTCAGGAATTTAAAAAGTAAAATCATCTGATTCACCACACACACATCTCCCCAACTAACCAAGCCAAAGCTTTACAGCTCCAGTGTTTTGAGTTCTTGACAAGGGAAGGCAGAACAAAGTTACCCAGAAACCAGTGATTTCAGAGGCCCCAGGAAATAGGAATGAGTCTGCAACAATCAGGAAGCAGGGAAACAAGGGGAGAGGTCCATAATCTCGCTAAAAAGAGGAGCCACCCTACTGCCAATCTATCCCACTCCATTTCTAAATAGCTAACTCAAAGGTAGAAGCGCCTAGCAGCTGTCTGCAATGGCCCCTATTCGAAAGTGGGCACTAACAGTGTGGAAATGAAGATGTATCTGACTGACTGCGTTAAGGAAACTGATGCTGGCACTCATCCAGTTTCCTTGGATAAAAGCTGCTTTGGCTCAGTCACTGTGATCATAAGAGTATCCCAGAGCACCTGTGGACCGCTATTCATTTTCAAAGGGTTCCTAGTCAGAATGTTCCTGGAACACAGGTTGCAAATCTTGTCAAATGACAAAAAGGAAAAAACTGAGGCACACAAAAAAGTGAAATTACCACCTGTGTTAAGAGAACAAGAAACAGGAATGGACAAGAGCTGATATTTGGGGTTTAGGTTAGCCTAGGTCACGTGGATTCTAATAACCTACACTGAACAATTTCTACGTAAACATATAGAAGCGCTTGGTTACTTCATTCCATAGTGACGTAACCTCAACTAATTACTGAAAAACGACTTCCGTAAGATCTAAATGTTTCCTGGAGATCATCTAGCCAATACTGAACTTATCTTAAGCCATCCGATAGATGGTAAAATATGAAAAAAACTACAGTACCAAAAATACCACTGCCCAGTCTAAATATGACTCAAAAGTCAGCATTTCTGTTAAAGTGACAATTAAGTATTGATTTCTAAGGAATTAAACCCTTAAGTATAAAGAAATATTTTGCTTTTATGGAAGAAGTCTCACTTATCTAGTACGGGGAGATAACACCATGCTACTGAGGAGGCCTACCGTGTAATACTGTTTCTTCTTCCAGCTTCTGATAGGCTTTTAACACAGTTACAACAATGTTTTACAGTTACCCTAGGGAACCTTAAGCACAACAACCACTATCACAAATAGTATAAAATGTTTCTAATCTAACTGTTTCCTTGAACTGGGAAAAAACTGCCAATTACTAGACTACACAATAATCTCAAATGAACTCCATAGCATTGCTCATGTATATTTCACCATCAAATTGCATGTAGCCTTCAAAATAGAAGTGGGCCCAGCTCACAAAGAACAAAGCGATGTGACTTTTCTCTACATTCCATTTCAATAAACTTACACCTCAGTTTACAAGCTATAACCCGATGTGAACTCTTCACATAGCACTAACTCAGTGCTATTTAAAAACCAGCGTAGTCAGTAATATTAAAGATTAGAACTACGAATGAGAATAGTGCTTACTTCTCCTTTATTCACTGACTTGAAAAGACTGTACTTCTTTTACTCACTGTTATTTTTTAATACATAAGGAAAACAAAAGGAAAAGAGAACAGAGAACCTATTATGCAGACCTACGTTTTGGCTGTGACATCCACATACTGTCCTGGGCGAAAGTGAGCAGCATAAAGAGGTGTGCCTTTATGGGAAAAAAACAAAAAAATCAATATGAAATATGTCAGCCCAGAAACAACTTCACTAAACATACACTACATCCAGGAGATCTTCTAGCTTGCAGTTTTCAAAAATGGTAGAAGATTCTCTTCTCCAATTATTAGAAACATCAACAATAAAAGAATAAAATTGTTCAACAAACATGTTTTAATGGATTGTACACAGGCTGAAGAACGAGGCACCAGTACGAGGCACCTGGTGCTGGAGTGAGCAAACAGACCCTGGCTGGCTAACGGGCTTGTGCCTTCAGAGGCCAACCTTCAGAGCTGCTGGTTGAAATGGGCAATTCCTGTGACAACACAGTGCTCCTGCTGATAAACACACGAGTTCGATGATTCTTGGTCATTTGAGTGAATAACAATATACTGAATTAAGATATATTTCCTATTTCATATAAGGGAAATAAAAACAAGAGAATGACTCAAAAAATGTTGGGGTTGGATCAAAATTTTTTTGACCCATGGAGATAAGTTATCCAAAAATAGGAACTTTAATTACTTGAACACAGGTCAATTGTATGTTGGGTAATGATTATGGTATGTGTGATATCCATATAAAGCTGATACGTATCAGATTTTTGGTGGACTAGTCATTGTTCCAATAAAATATAGTTATTCTAGCACGTGCCCAGATATTTGGAATAGCAAAAAACTGCCATTATAGATATCCCTAATTTTATATAGGACTAACATTTCCAAAACTAGTTGTACATAAATAAAATCTTACTTTAAATGTACTTAGGAAACATGATATTTAAAGGAATTTTGTAAGTCAAAGCCCTTCATAACATTTTATTTATGTAAATTTGGAATTAACACTTGTGAGAAAGATTTAATTTGGCAATTAATCTCCATACATTTATGGGGCACTTACCAATATATAGTTAGAAATACAAAAGTATAAGACATGGCCCTTGACCTCAAGAGTTTATTATCTAGGTGAAGAATCAACATTAACATTATCAAATAAGAGAGCTCTTTTTTAATAAAAAGCTGGAAGCAATGTATTAGAGAATGTAATTGAAAGCTAATTTTTGTTTGCTTAAAACAGGGAGTAAAAGTGCTGTAGGATTTCAGAGGGCAGCATCCCATCAAGAAGGACCTAATCTGGATTTGCATGGGCAGAGAAAAACCTTGAATTAAGAAAAAATAAGGAAGATTAAAAGTGACTAAATTTCTATGAGGTTGAATGATCTGAACTGCAGATATCTGACCATTTTTCACCTACAAAAACAACAATTTCACATGGTTCGAGCCATAGCAAAAGTTAATGTGGACTTAATTTTCATACTTAGTTTAATTCCATTTACTTTACCGTAAAGTTACAAAAACTGCACTTCAAAAAATACTTTTAATTCTAGCTTATATCAAGGCTGACTCTCTGTCACTCCAATTAATAAGGCCTATTGCAATTGAATTTTACTTCAAGAAATTCAGTTCAGATATTAAAATATCCTTCTACTATCTACTTGTTAGAACCCAAGTTCAAGAGATCAGGGAGCATTTCTGAAATTCAAAGACATCAAAATGCTGTTAACTACATGAACCAACATAATTATACTGCCAAATCTTACTTTTTGACATTCCATGGATTAGGTAAAATACTTTCGGGATTTTACATTGAGGTTGCTCTGATCAGTCACTTGCCGGTTTCAGGCTACGTTTTCTCAAATTCTTCTATCTCAGTGAAAGTCTGGCTATTCTTTACTCAATAAAATGCCAGCCTACAAACAGTAAACTTCACACTTTAAAAGTTAGTGTATTTATTTGGAGTGGCTTTTCCGAATGTACACTAAAAACAAGGGCGTTCCTCCCTCTTTCACAGAAAACAAAGAGTTCTCTACAGTTCTTTCCACTTAAAAAAGAAAGACTTGTTTGTCCCTAGTGATTAAATCAGATATGGTTTTTATATTTAAAAATAAATGTTTGGGACTTTGTATTGTGGATTCAGCTTTATTGAAAGGGCTGACATTAAACAAATCACACATTTGGGTATTTTTACCTCCCTCCTCTCCCCAACCTCATATTACCTGGCTTAATTACAGCATTGTCTGTTACTTGAAAGATTTTAACTTTCTGTTTTGGCGGCAATCCAAGTTCTTGGTAAAATTCCAATACAGATGTAGATTTCTAGAGGAAAAGCAGCACACATAAGTAACACATTCAATACTAGAGGTGGAGTTTAATGCATAGAGATCTAAACCAAGTTATTAACACCCAAAAAACAAGTCAAGAGCATTCTGTTCCCCTAATGAACAAAGAGCACCCTATTCCCCTTATTTAAGGGAGGTGAGATTTTTATCTATAATCTATTACACTTAGGATCCAACCATGTGCATAGTGTAGCTCATATACAGTACATGGGGAAAGACCTTTGTTCTGCAGGAAAAGAAATACAGTTGTACTCATATTTGAATTTTGACTGGAGATGGTAAGTATCAAGAACCCTAATCCCGGGAAATGCAACTCTGTCTACTCTGCACTTGCAGAGTAGTTTTTGCACTTTTTGCACTTCCAGCTCCAAGCAGCTGGAAGAAAACATGATAGGTCATATTCAAATGTACGACCACCAACTTCAAAGTGAGTCCCAAATGTGGCCTGGCCAACCTACATTTCCCTATTAAATCCCTCTCACACTCTCCAACGCAACCATGTCACATCCTCTTTTAAAACCTCCAGCACTGATCCCTCTTCCTCCCGCCTTGAGCTGATCATGTTGCTTCTTATTTCACTGAAAAAACAGAAGAATCAAGAGCACTTCCCCAAGCCCGTATCACCAAATCAATCAAACTGTCTGCACCAGCACTTATATACAGTCATCCTCCCACCCTACTCCAGAATGCACGAGATGGCATGGGGAGCTTTTAGAAAACGCCAAAGCCAGGGCCCTCTGCTTGGAGACTGTAACTTCACCAGTCGAAGGTGGCATCCAGGCATCAGTATTTTTTTAAGCACTCCATATGATTCTGATGTGAACTGGGGGCTAGAAATCCCGAGGACAGATGAACTGCCCGTGCTCTATTAAAAGCCAAATCCTTTACTGTGTACTACTGATTCCCACCCCCTCTCACCTATTCAGTGGCCCCACCATCTTCTGAATCATCAATTTCCCCCTTCTACTGGAACTTTCCTATCAGTATACAAAGATGTCACAATAACTCACATATTAAAACAAAACTTTTCTTTGGCCACATAGTCTCCCTTAGCTAATCTTCCTGTTTCCCCTTACAACAAAGCTCCTTGAAAGACTTGTTGAATCTACTTTCTCTCCTCGCATTTTCTCAAAACCACTTCAATCAGGTGTTTTAGCTCCTAATACTCAATGGAAAGTACTTAAAGTCACCAACAATTTCCACGTGGTCAAATATACTGGTACATGCTCATTTATTGGTTCTATCAGCAATACTTGACACAGGTGACCACTATGTGCTTGAAAGACTGCGTTGGTTTCCACTCACTACTCTCTCCGTTCTTTCATATGCTAACGACACCACACTCCTCTTCAATCCCAAATTCTACTCCAAACTGCAAATTCACATGTCCAGCTGCTAACTCAGTATCTCACTTTGACATCATGCACCAACTCAAGTTTAACATGTCTACAATTGAACTCAACATCTGCCCACAAGCCGGCTCTCCTCTGGTCTTCCAAATCTCAATAAATGGCAACTCCATACTTCCGTTGATTGGACCAAAAATCTTGTGGTCACCCTTGACTTCTCTTTCTCACGTCCATCTACCAGCAACTCCTGTAGACTCTATTTAAAAATACAGCTCACATCAACCACTTCTCACCCCAACCCCAAACCACCATCTTTTGCCTTGATTATTTTAATAGCCTTCTAACTGGTCTCCAAGCTTCCACACTCCTGACCCCCTGGTCTGTTCATTCACAGGCAGGCACGATCCTTTTAAAACTCAAGCTATGTCATGTCTCTACAACAGCTTCCGTTTCATGCAGAATCAAATCCTAAATCCTTACCATGGTTTATGAGGTTCTATACAATCTGATCTTGTCTACTATTCTCCTCCTGGCTCACCTTGCTTCAGGTACTATGCATTCCTTATTGGTCCAAGAATATATCCAACACTGGCCTCAGGTCCTTTGCACACACTGTTTCCCCTGCCTGGAATGCTTTTCTCCCAAATTTTAGCAAGATGTTCTCCCTTACTTTATTCAGGTTGCGTTCCAAGTATCAACTTAACTTTTTTTGATTACCCTATCTAAAATAGCACCACTTCCTGTCACTCACAATCCCCTCAGTCTACTTTATTATTCTTCAAAGCACTTTTCTCCATCTGTCACAATATACATTTTTTGTTGTTTATCTTCAATGCAACAGCCTCCCTGTCTCACCCCTAATCCCACAAAAATGTAAGCTTCTTGAGAGCAAGGACTTGAGCTATTGCTATATCCCCAGCTACTGGGAGGTCCTGCTGTCTCCTTTTCCCTCCACTCCTGACTTTTTCCTGCTATTGTAAATATCCTCGAATATAAAATAGCCTTGAATAGAAAACTTTATGGACATCTTATTTCCTTACAATAATGTCCTTGGTCTTTTTTTTAATTTTTAAGACTCTTGCCATAGACTGCTATAGGACTTGCCTAAAAAGCTGTACAACTTTGTATTTCCTGATGTGAAGAGTGCCTCTTTTATGAAACTATAACCAACGCAGGTATATCTATCTTCCTGTTGTTCCTGCTCCCCCAACTTCCCCTCTAATCATAAAGGAAGCACCTGGCAGGCCCTCAGTGAGCCATGGTATTCTGTATGCTTACCTGTGTCTGCCTGTGCCAGTCTCTTGGCCTGTAATCTCCTCCCCACCCTACACCTCCAAAGCTCATTAAAATAAGTTAAATACACGTCTAGTCTCAGCTCCAGTGATATTTCCTGTCTGGATCCCTCCCTGGGCAGTCTTGCCAGAGCAGTCTGCTCCTTTGTCTATGCCATCCCTAGGCCCTGCATGTATCTCATTTACTGTCCACATTACCTTACACTTAACAAATTGCATGTCTGTCTGCCTGCTGGCCTGTGAGCACCTGGATGAGAGGAGCTGTTTTATTCACCTGTCTCTCTAACTTTAGTGGCAAGCACAGCGGCAGGTCAGACACTGCAGAAATGAGCTAAATGAATGGTGAAAAGACAGAAGATGGAGGGCAGTCATGCATCTGGGCGTGAAGTCCTGGCTTGTCTCTTCAAGTCACCCCACCTTTCCACTCTTCCTGCTGCATCACAACATTACTGTGTTTGTGACCTGACAGTGTGTGACCTCTGCCTTTAAGTCTAGCTATTACAAAATTTTAGGCCTAAAATAAACATCATAACTTACTCTGAGGATGACCAAATCCACAAGAAACTAAACTACTATGAAACTGAACCAACAGCAATTTGTAATAAAAAAAAAAAAAAAAGCAAGATTAGCAGCAACTGAAAAAGCCTAACCAACGCATGATGTTCTGATAACAAAGCATCCTTCCCCCAAATTCCAATGGAGTATCTGCACAGCCAGACTTATAAGTAGAATACAATATTTGAATATGCAGCAAACTTCAGTTAGTTGCTAATTTCAGTTTAAAACGTGAACTGTTAGTGCTCTTTATAACTTACTTAGTAGGTTGCCTTTAGTCAACATGAAAATGGGTGGTACTACCTGTGAGCACAGAACTTTAATTTTTGGATCAGTCCACAACGCCCTGGAAATCTCCCTGGGGCCCTCCAGTGGGACCATCCAACAAATGCTAAGAAGCTCTGCTTTGGATGTCCACGAAAGATTGTTTTGTACCTCATAAAACTCCCTCAAGAGCCATCCTCACCTCCAAAACAGTGATAACATAAATTCATTCCAGTCATTCTCTATAGTTTCACTTCCCATATGCTGAAATCTAAGACTAATATTCAACAACACTCTTACAAGGCCCCTGCTTTTCATCTTCAATAAAACTCACTTCTTCCACAACAAAAGAAAACACAAAAATTCCCATTTAAAAATGTGGCTCCTTGAAATTATTTTCTGATGTATTATATTCAGATTTATTAAATTTTAGAACAGCCTTCAATTTTATTTTTAACATTCACATATTCCACCTGGTGATTTAAAAAGCATATTATTTTATTAATATCACTTCTTAAGTATGCCAGGAGGCTTCTGAGAAAAACCCTTTCCTTTTTTAGTAATGCAAAATAAACAAGATAAACGTCTTGACCTAAGTAATTAAGTAACTATAGACTGAATAAAAAGAACAAAGGTAATACATATTTCTTGATTATCTTCCAATTTCACTAAAATTAAATACTTTAATTTTTTTCTTTTAAAATCAAAATATTGGAAAACTAATTAGGTATCAGTTACAAGAAAAACCAAATGCTCGAGTTGAAATCAGCAGCAGTTTAACAAGTGGCTTTTTTAAAACTTCCAAATAAATGACTTCAAAAGGCAATTTAAAAGACTGACAGCAGTGTCACACTTGGATAATCCCATCTATGAGGTTGCATTTTTTTTCCCTCTTCAAAGTTCTCTGCAGTTATCCTTCCCACAATGAAAATGCTTCTCTGCTCCTAAGATGAATTGATTTAATCAACTTTTAAGGCTACTTAACTTCCTTATTCAAAAACACTATGTGCCACATCAGTTTTTATTTATAAGGTACAAACATAGCAAAATAAGATAGTCTAATTTCTTGGAGGCATAAATTCTTTACAGATTAAAAAAATAATAGTTCTAGCTCTATTATAAATAAAACTGATTTAATCCATTTATTTTAGAATGCTATTTGATATTTTACATTCATAAGTCTCAAGTTGCTTTTTTTTTTTTTTTTTAACTCTCTATAATCAATCTATTTGCAGTTTTCCTGGGGGTCACAATATGCAAGAGGACGTTTGTGTACTTTTAGTTTTGAAAATATTTTTCCTTTCTGAACCAAAATGCTTTACTCATAAAGAACTCCAAAACTTCACTTTCACATTCCATTCTGAAGAAAGGTCATTCAAAGACAAAGCTTTTTCTTAATATTGTAAAAAATGTTCTCTGGACCTAGAAAATTTACATCTTGAAGAATAAGAAGGGCCTCTGTAGCACTTCCCACACCAGAGAAGTGAACAGTTTTAAAAAGTTTATGTAAGTGAAGTGAGTCAAAATCCACTACGACATAAGAATACAGGATCCAAATCATCCTGCTGTGCTGTATATTCATCGAAGAGATAAAATATGTAGCCCACAGTTTCAAGTACGAAAGTACAGTACTCTCATTTCTGTAATATTTTAGTTATTAGCATTACATGTTATTAAAATTTTATCTATAAGACATCATCACTAAGTAAAACAGAACAAATTGAGCTAGCAAGTACATTTTGGGGGAGAACATCTGTTTTTTCTTGAAAACTAAAATATTAGAAAGCTAATGTGAGACTTTTAGAACTGGAAGAGAATTGAGAGACCATCAAGTTCAATGCTCTGTTTTCATGGGTAAGAAAAAGGATATTTAAAAAGGTGGAGTGAAGGAGCTATGGTAGAAATCAAGATTAGAACTCAGCTCTTCTGACCCCCTGACCACCTATTTTTCCACTCTCTCCCAGTTCTGAGGAAGTAATGCTCACAGATCTGTTGGAGCAGAATGGATTATCCCAACATGAATCAAGGCTGTGAAGTCATGCATTTACAAAACTGGTAATGAAAATAAAGATGATGGTGCTAGTTAAAACAAAAGGAAATACCATCAATTAGAAAACAGTGGTGTCTATCGAACCAAAGAATTACTCACATGAAGGCTGGCACACAATTACACATTTAAAAATTGAAACATTTGACATTTTTTAAAAAGTTTCCATAAATATCTCATTGTGCTTTTAATTACTGTGGAATTGTTTAAACCCTGAAATTATTAGTCAATGAAAAGTCAAGAATTAATAGCAGGATAGATAGTACTATGAAGACTTATGGAAAAATAAATGAACTATATTACCATAACATGCAAAAATAGTTAACTTCTCTAATACTTACAAGACAGGCCTAAGCAGCCTATAGTCCTACTAAACTATAAAACTCCGATGATTTCAACCACCACCAATTTACTGATCAGTATATCCTACTATCTAAGGACAACTCCCCCTGGGTTTCCGTGAACACCTCAAACACACCTGTCCTCCAAAGCTTCCCTTTCCTTGTCCCAATTCCAGGTTACAGCATCAGCACTGACCCAGCTGCTTAGCTAGAAACCAATCTATGCCTGCGTCCTCACCACACACTCCCACTCACCCAGTCTTCTACAAACCCCTGCCCCTTCCAAGCCATGTAACTGCCCTGGTTCAAAAGACTTTTACCAACTCCCCTCTAGTGCTTAAAACACCTTCTAAATGTTCTCCCTGCATCCGGATTTTTCTCATATTAGTTAACCAAGACAACAACTGGACCACGTTACTGCCCTAGTTAAAGATGCAGAGAGCTCTTCAGAGTCTACAGGATGAAGTCTAAACTCCTTAGCACTCTACTGACAGCTACAACTTCTGCACCTTTACCACCTACCCCCACTGGTCTCACACCTGCACACAGATCCAGACACATCACACTTCTCTTCCCAAGCACATGTACTCTTCCACACGTCTTTGCTTGTGCAGAGACCATTCCTTCTGGCATGCCTTTAACACCCACTCTCCTTGCTGGTCTCCATCCTGTGAAACCTCCCAAGTAGAACTGGCCACCCCCCATTCTCTACTTGTTGCATTTATAATACTGTACTGAGATGGCTGATTTATCTGTCCATCTTCCCCGCTAGCCTACATGTTCCCAGAGGGTGGATATCAAGAAAGTTAAGAAAGTAAGGCTTTTGGAGTCTGATTGTCTACCTCTTACCAGTGGGTGGCCCTGAGTGAGTTACTTAACCACTTTAGCCTCAGAGGCTGAAAAGGTTACATAAGAAAATAAATGTAAAAGGTTTAATGCTGATGTACCTGGCATGTAATCAGTGCTCAATAAAAGTTAACTGTGACAAGGAAATAGAAGGCCCACAATAAACACTTGCCAGTTTTGAAAGTTGCATAGTATAGCTTGTATCCTAATTTCTATCCATGTTGATTTCATAAACAATTTACAATGGAAAAATGTTTACATTAGCAATAAGCAATGTTTTAGTAAACCTAGAAATGTTTCAACACTCATTAGTGAAAACTATCACTATTTCTGGAAAGGTATTCTCTGCTTTTAGTTATCCAATAAACAATACTAATTGTGCAGATTTTTCAATTTAAACTACAAACTCAACACTCTACTGGTATTCTACTTGAGAAAAAAATGCTTTATTTAAAAAAAATCTGATGTGGGTTTATATACAGCTTTCTCCCAAGTACTGAAAGCTCCTTCTAATATATACAAAATTAATCCTCACAAGCTGTTGGTGTCAAGTGTTGAGACAATTTAGCAAAAAGTGAAATTAAACATAAAACAACAACAAAATAACCAAACAGCTACCATCTATTGAGCGTCTGTTACATGCCAGGCACATCTGAAAAATCTCATGTAATCCTGATAACAAACCTCAGGTCAGTAGTATTTTTATCCCCATTTTACAGACAGGCAAATACTGTGGCTTACAGGGCATAGTTACTTGTTCCAGATAGTGAGGGAAGGTACTGGAACAAACTCCAAGTCTCACACTCACAGGCCCCCCAATTATTAGACTGCCTCCCTCCAAAATCCACAACTTACTTCATGGACGAGTACAAGTTTGTGCCTATGGAATATCCTCAAAATAAAGAATTCAGATCTGAAACTAGTGAAATGTACTATTCTAGGAAGGAAAACACATCCTTACATGGAAACGTGATACAGTTTTTCCTCCTACAGTTAGGGCTGCCCTTTTTCCATCATGGTTTTCCTTTGGGGTGTATTTTAGGACGTGACAGTCTTGTACCTAAAAGGAAACATAAAGAAAACTAAGTATGTGCCAAGATACATTTTATTTTTTTGTGTGCGGAGATCAGCCCTGTGCTAACATCTGCCAATCCTCCTCTTCTTTTCTTTTTTTGCTGAGGAAGACTGGCCCTGGGCTAACATCTGTGCCCATCTTCCTCCACTTTTTTTATATGGGACACCGCCACAGTATGGCTTGACAAGCAATGCATCGGTGCGCGCCCGGGATCCGAACCGGTGAACCCCAGGCCGCCACAGGGGAGCGTGCGCACTTAACCACTTGCGCCACCGGGCCGGCCCCCAACATACATTTTAAAATTATATAAAAGACACATTGAGGCCCTAGGACAATTAGGAATTCCCTAAGGTTGTCTCATCATCCCTCTAACTACAAGCCTAAAATACAGAAATAACCTTTAAAAAAATTGTCAAATATGACACGTACAGAAAAATGCATGAACATAAATATACAACAAAATGAGTATTTATAAAGGAAATATGCATGTTACCACTACCCATGTCAAGCAGAAGCCCCAAAGCCTCCATTTGTCTCTTCCCAATCATCCCCTCCCTTTTTTTTTCTTTAACCCCTAGAGCAGTGGCTCTCCAAGTGTGGTCCCCAGACAACCAGCATCAGCATCACCTGGGAACCTGGTGAAAATGCAGGTTCTCAGGCCTTACCCAAGACCTATTGAACCATAACCTCTCTGTTTTATAAGCCCTCCGTGTGACTCTGAGGCACGCTAAAGTTGAGAAGCACTGCCCTAGAAATAACCAGTACTCTTGACGTTTATGGTAATCATTCACTTACTTTTCTTTTTCTTTTACATTTTACTTACTTTTCTTTATAATTATTATCTTTGAAAGTATTGCTTAACAATGTACTTCAGTGTCGCCTGCTTTAAACTTCATATAAATGGAATCAGACTGTATGTACCCTTCCATGTCTTACTTCTTTCACTCCAGATTATATTTGTAAGGTTCATCCATATTCCTGTGTGTAGCTCCATTCTGCTCATTTTCATTGCTATCCAGCATTCCATTAGGTGAATATACCACAGTTTATTTACCCATTCTACCGTTCACTGATGGACATTTGGGTTATTTCTGGTTTTGGAGTATGAAGAGTAACACTGCTATAAACATGGTTGCACAGGTCTCCTGGTGTACCTGTTCAAGCTTTCTAGTAATACTCAGGAATGGAACTCCTGGACTACAAGGGTCATCTACCTCAACTTTCCCAAAAATTGCTAAACTGTTTTTCCAAGTAGTTGTGTCAATTTACAATCCCACTAGTGATTCTGAAAGCTCCCAAAGTTCCACAGAATTCTAGAAACTATAATCCTATCCTTGATCATTCAGAGTAAATAAAAATTTACTAAGGGTCTGTAGGCCCCCTGTGTCTATGAGCACTCCAGCACTCTTGCAGGGCTCTCGCTGTCATCACCAGCACCTGTCTCGTCACTTGTCTCAGGCAGGGCCCCAAAGACGAACTGAGCTGTCCAAAGTGACAGGGGAATGACAGTCTCCTAACTTTATCAGTGATCTTTCTATAGTAATAATAATAAAGACAACAGCAGCCAACATCTATTGGACATTTAACATTGTTTTAAGTTTTCACTGCTTGACATTTATCATCTTGTGCAATCCTCCAAATAACCTTTGGAGGTAGGTCATAATTATTTCTTTCACAGAATAAAACTATATCTTTTACAGAAGAGGCACAGTGCTCCAAGGTACACTGCTAGGAAGTGGCAGAACCAGGATTTAAAGTCAGGCATTCTAGTCCCAGGACCCATATTCTTAACCATTAGAGTTTACCTTATTTCAGAGAACAAAATGCTGCTTCCCTAGACAAGAGAATGTTATATTCTGAGTTAGCAAAGAATCAAAATCGTAACTTGGAGTTGAAAGAACTCCATAAATGAAAATAAGATGGGACTGAGATTTTTTCTGATTATGAATTACACTGGCAGATCTGTAAGAAGCTAGATTATAATCTTTTTTTATTCATTGCCCCTGTTATCCCAATGCTTGTATCAAGAAGGCCACCACTCAGGTAAACGTGAGAACATTCACTGACACCATGAGAAGCAAAGTTCTTTAATAGTATCTATACTTGACCTTACCCCTATTCTTCACCACACAGTTACATGTTTCAGGATACAAATATTGCCCGTTCATATTTGCACAAATAGATCTCGGCACACATACAGATCTGTTACAGCTTCTGTTTCTCTCCTACCTGAAGTAATGTGACCACATGCTTCTGACCATCTTTGGTCCATAGAGGCATCATGCCCAGCTTCAGGGCAATAAGGCCTACTCTAGAGGAACCTGGCAATTAGAAACAAATCAGTGTTGACACAAGCTTTTTCAATATTAGCCAACATGATACAACAGGATTTCCTAAACTGTGGTTTCAATATAAGGAGCAGGCAGACAGGAAACATGCTGGTATATTCAGAGTAAAACAGAACTGTTCCTTACAGATCTAAGTGCCTTCAACCATGCCTGGCATAATATATTGGTACTCAATAAATCTCTGTAAAATGAAAAAATATAAGAGAACTGTACAAAATAAAGAAAATAAGTAACCGATATATTCTGCTTTTAAAATAATGGTGTTAATAGAGGGCACAATAAATCCATTATTATGCTTTGCTGTCCTAGTATTAATTCATACCCAATCTCACTAATTAGAAAACATCTACCACTCAAATTCGAAGAAGTTAGCTGGGGTTATAAGGAAGACACAAGGGGTCATGGTGCTAAAACTATGTTGGCCTCCACCATGACACTTAGATTTGTTGCATAAATTGATAAAGTTGCTCCACTAAGAACTTTTGGCCACTTTACAATTCAACTGTCACAATAAACCCCAACCAGAGACCACAACCTCAACAGACCTCTTCTTGGTCTGACCCTATCAGGCACAAAGAGCTGATGCTTTTCTTGGCAAATCTGGAGTGCTAGAACATCCCAAGTGACAATGTTTGTGACACACTACAGTTTAGATCATACTCTTCCAGCTTTTCTTCCCTGATTTATCTTATATTCTTTTTTTACCTGAAGGAAACAGAAAATGCATTTCACCTACAAACCAGCTTCTTGAGGAAGTCTTGATTACCGTCATTCACTAACAGTAGACTAGGATGCTGGAAATAAACTTGCCAACCAAACCACAATGAAACAGACACACTTAAGACATAAAAAATAAATTCAAGAAATGATAAATTTATCAAGCAGTCACCCTATTTTGAATGTGCCAGCTACACAGTAATTAGGAGATAACTCATCAAATACAAAACAACTACCTGGTTCCCACGGATGAACAGGCCACGGTTCATCTTTCAGAGGATACAGTTTACTTGCTAATTGGGCTTTATTTTCATCAGAGGCCAACTGCTTGATGAACGAAACATTTTCTTCAGAAAGATGCTCATCCCACCAAGTACCACTCTTGCCATGGAGACTTCTAACCAAAAGCCAGATGTCTGTTCTGTAAAAATAAAAATTAGAAAACCACAATCCAAAAAGTTCCCCCACGTAATGTAGGGAAGGGAGACCACATGAGTTGAAAAACGTAGTCTGGGCCTTAGCAACGAGTTTGGATTCTGCGCAAGTTTTTTTCCTGACATTGCTTGTGATAATAATGGGACTCACCTTATAACTGTTAATGGTTACCCTGGAGGAAAAGTTCTTCATCTTCTCTTTTGGGATAAACAGATTTCTAACAGAGTAGTCCTACCTAAACACAGGAGAGGCCACTGACCCATGTGAACGTGTACCTTAACAGTTTATATCCAGTGGAGGTGGCAGAATGTGGGATGCTGATCTTGCTCTGATAAGCTCACCTCTTCCCTGCAATGACACAGCCTAGGCTCAGACTGGTGAAAAAACTGAGTGTGCAAATTTAAAAGATCCATAAAAGACACGGCCTGTGGCCAGCTGAACACACCAAGAAAGACCTTAGAGAAGGGAGGTCGGGAAGGAGGTGTGTAATTCTTGCGCGGAGGGTCAAGGGAAAAAAAGCAAAGCTTTCTGTAGTCTATCCCCCTTTAGTCAGGAAGATCCAGGTTAGAGTCCCAATTTTAAACTCACTAGTTGAGTGACCTTGGGCGAATTAATACTCCTCTCTGAGCCTCCGTTTTATCTGCAAAACGGAATAATGACAATATGGAATAATGAGAGTTATCTATAAAACGGATGATTATTCTCTCACGTGAGGCTGCATGAGCTAAGGCGCCTAACAGAGCATCTAGAACATAGTAAACGCTCACTAACTGGCAGAAAATATTACTGCTGTCGGTATCGCTCGCTGCCAGTCGCTGGCTCATAAGCATTAACAACAAGACTCACCCCTCTCCTCCTCACCCACTCTCCAATGCTTTAGAGGGCACTTCCTTCGAGTGACGATCCCTCCTCTCCTGCCCCTCAGGTCAGGACAGAGCCCCCGCCTCCTCACCCAGGGCGGACCCCACCATGCCGCGCCCCAGGCTGCAGTTATGCGGGGTCCACAACCCCACACCCGGCCTCTCGCCCACACCCACCTGTTCCCCGAGCCCCGGGCAGCGCCCAGGCCGCCCAGGCCGCGGCCCAGCACCTGCGCGCCGGCCTGAGCCAGCAGCCTCCAACCGGGCATGGCGCGGCCAGAGGGGGCTCGGCCAGCTACACTTCCCGGCGCCCGGCCGCTCTGCTTTCAGGGGTCCCCACGCTGCCGTCACGCGTCCACCACAGCCCGCCAGAGCCGGCCCGCCCGGTGTCCCCCAGTGCCCTCCCGCACGGAAAGAGAGAGCGCGCCGCAGGAGCCACTTCCGGCCCGTTTCGCAATGCGCTCCGGGAGCCGGAGTCAGCCCCCGGAACTAGAGTTCCGTCTCCGGAATAGTCCTACTGTGGATCGGAGTTGGGATAGGGAGGGTGGAAACTGACTCGTCTCTCCAGGGGTTGAGAAAAAGGGATGTTCGGAGTTTAAACATTGGAAGAGTGAGACGAAGTAGGGACAGGCTTCTCAGGGAAGCGAAATCACTTCTAAGTAATACCCGCTGTGGGGTAGCTCACTGTAGTAAGCAGCTCTTGATATTCTTCTATTGGGTTATGTTCAAAGCGGTCCTGAAAGGAAGTTATGTTTGTATTATAAGTGAGGGAACGTAGACTCAGAATTTTGATGCTAGTCCAAAATAGCACATCTGGCAGATGGGCAGAGCTGGCACTGAAACAGGGCTGGCGTGTGTTAGCAATAGCATATGGCCAAGGTGATGATGTGTGACTTCCCGGGCTGGATCATAAAAGGTATTACTACTTCTGCCTTGGTCTCTTGGACTTCTCCCTTTGGGAAAAGCCAGCGGTCATGTCCTGCAGACACGCTCAGACAGCCCTGTAGAGAGGCCCATATGAAGGGGAACCAACTTTCCAGCCAGGGGTGAGCCACCTAGGAAGTGAATCCTCCCGTCCCAGGCAACCCTTCAGATGACTGCAGTTCGTGAGAGTCCTTGAGCCTGAACCACCTAGCCGAGGATCTCACGGATTCCTGACCAGAAGAAATTGCCATAGAGAATAAATGATTACTCTTATTTTGAGCCACCAGGTTTTAGGGTGATTTGTGACACAGCTGTAGCTAGCTAATACTCCTTCTGTACAAACAAACCCATGTCCTGGGTTCCAGACGCAGCCTAATCACCACGTGTGCACCTTGGGCATTCATTCTACTACCCCAAAAGTCTGTTTCCTTATTTATCAAGCCGGTGTTTATAGAAATTTGGAAATAAGAACTTAAAAGTTTAGCCATTTCAGCACCCTCTTTTTATTAGAGATCTGGCTAGCGTGGCTTAAAAGGTCCAGGCAATGATCAATTCCTTGTTACTACTTGGACTTCAGTAGGCTCAACATCTTTGCTTTGCTTGCTCTTGCATTCCACCAATTGCCATTGCAGTTGCCTGGACACTTCCAAATAACACTTTGGGCCAAGAGGAAAAATTACATCTCTTCATCCAAACCATGCTACCTGGCTTCCCAGTTACTTAAGAATGACCCTTCATTGAACAAATATGTCTTAAAGTATGCTACATGCAAGAATATGAGGGGGGAAAAAAAAGACTTGCCTACTACTGCCAATAGCTAGCATTTCTTGTGCATGTAGTATGTGCTCAGTATTGTGGAAACCCATCAGTCAAAGACCACCAGGAGCACACCTAAACTCAAGCAAGGTTAAGTTTAATTAGCTTGCTGCAGCAAGAGAAAGCATACACTTGAGGATGTCTCTATACAAATGAGTTGGGAGGGGCTTGTTATAAGATTTGGACTTATGATGGGTGATTTTAAGGTGGCGTCAGGGAAGCAGAGACTTGTGAAATGGATGCTATCAAGAAGCAAAGACAGTTCAGCAATTAGACATCACAATAATTTTGTTCTGGAGGGAAGAAGAACAAAGTAAGACTAGGGATCACGTAGGTAAAAGAGCAGAAATTGCTCAGAGAAGGAACTGTTAGTCATTTTGTAGCAGCGGTTTGGGCCTTGGGTATGGTCTGTTAGAAACATTGTGTTGATGTTCCATTATAAACACAGCAGTCTGCTTACTAACAGGATTCATTTTCACTCTTTCAGTGTATTTTCTCACTTAATCTTTGTAACAACCCCGTGTGGTAATTGTGTAATTATCTCCATTTTACAGTTGAGAAAATAAGCACAGAGAGATTATATAACTTAAATAAGGTCATTTTGCTAGTAAGTGATAGAGCCAAGATTTAAATCTCAGCAGTGTGACCATAGAGCTTGTGTTCTTAGCCATTTTGTTTCATTGACTCTCTATGACAAATATGTTACTACCCTTACATTGGAATTCCTCTATGGCTAAAGAGGAAAACTGGTAAGGAAACATATACACAGTGGTCTGTGAGGATTGAGAAGGCAGCCATTCAGTCTAACCTTTGCCTCTAGTGCCAAACCTCTCCTGGTCCATGATGGCAGCCTTGAGTCAATGAAACTCTTAGCAAGCACCACTGTTGAACTGAATCAAAGCAAAACGTGCTTTGCTGTCACACAGCACACATCTCCTGATTGCCATGTGGGCTTGGGAGGTGTCATCATGCTCTATTTAGTCACTGCAGTATGCTGCTAATTGATAAGGACCAGGCCCAGTTTTGAGGGACCCAGCCTGGGCTCCAGGGCGCTTAGGCCCTGAGCTCGAGCTTCCCATCATTTCTGATGCCATCCTTCAGAGCCTGCCCGAGAGCCCGGGACCCTGATACCACTTGGCCTCTCTGGGACTTCAGTTCCTCACTGGAACAAAGATAATTTCCACAATCTCTTTTTAGTGCTACAATTCGATAATTCTTACTCTTATAATTCAGACCAAAAGCTGACATAATAAATGTTCTCTTTATTAAATAAAACAATAATTTCACTTCTGAATTTCTAAAGCCATGTGCAACAAAAGAGAATCATCATGGAAGGAGCAGGTTTCAAATCAGGTTTTTATTGGAAGTATCTTTTCTATGTGTTCCTGCCATTAGGTCCTTCAGTCTTTTTTTATAATGTCTGTGATATGTCCTGTATGGTTGGCTTTTTGCAGAATAATAAATTTTTTATTGTTGGTTAATTTGCATTTTATATTCATTTATGCTATCTCAGTTCATAACATGCCTTATATTTGAAATTAAAAATCCTTTTTAAAGTGAGTTTAGACTTTTCATAAAATTATCCTGGATTTCTTCCATTTTTCTAAAGCTGTGAGAATTTAGCATATTTTAAAATCAGTAAAGATGTTATGAAGGTGAGTTGAGCATCGGATGGGGGAATAGATAAAATGAACTTTAAGAAATTTTGAACTTTGAGATTCCATTGCTGGCTGAATAGAAAACTTAAAAGGCTATATTGCAAAATCCACAGGTGACCATTCAGTAAGAAGATGAATTCTGCTTCAATGTCCTCCAACAAGACCAAATTACAATTTTCAACTTCAATATAATGCTTTTAAGAACACACTTTTGGGCCGGCCCCGTGGCTTAGCGGTTAGGTGAACACGCTCCACTGCTGGCGGCCCTGGTTCGGATCCCGGGCGCAAACCGACGCACCGCTTCTCCGGCCATGCTGAGGCCGCGTCCCACATACAGCAACTAGAAGGATGTGCAGCTATGACATGCAACTATCTACTGGGGCTTTGGGGGAAAATAAATAAATAAATAAAATTTAAAAAAAAAAAAAAAGGACACACTTTTAATTTATATATTCCTAATTCAGGCCACAGATTTTAGGGTTCCAGGAGATGACCAGAATGGAAACACATTTGGCCTAAAGAAAGCCTAAAAGAGGGAGAAGGAGAAGGAGCAGGAGAAAAAGCTGCTGTGTGGCCGTGTAGCGATGTGGGTTTAAGGTTTCTCAGCATCCTGTTCCCCTTTGTTGTATTCAGAATGATTCTGAAACTTAATGTAATTAAACCTATGTACATTTCTTTAAAGTGCTTTGATGACTGAACAAAAATGTTAGGGACAGACAATGTAGCATCACATGCCAGGGGACCAAATGCTTTCAGCCAAGGACAGTTCCTTCTCCCTGGTCTTCCTTCTGATGCCAGTGCAGTTTTGATGGCTGGAGTTTGGCTCTAGACCAGTGAATGCTCTTGTCACCTGGGACCATGGTCAGGGTGTCCCCTATGAGCCCAGAAGATACAGAGTCTTGAGAAATTCCTAGAGACTGAATTCATTTGGGATTTTGTTTACACTTGGAAGGGGTCCCAGAAGAATGAGAAATAGCTAACACTTAATGTTGCTCTTGCCAAGTGACAGTTGCTGTTCTAAGTTCTTTACACATATATTAACTCACTCACTCCTCTCCTCACCTATGAAGTAGGTACTCTTGTTCTCATCTTCACTTACAGATGTGGAAATTGAGGCACAGAGAAGATAAGCGTTTTATCCAAGTTCACAAACCTTAAGTGTGTTAAGTGAGAGGTGGAGACAGGAGTTGAGCCCAAGCAGGCCGACCGCAGAGTCCAAGTGCTCACCTGCTCTGTTGTATTGCCTCTCTCCCAAGATGTGAAACTTCCATGACACAATGTTGGAATACTCAGCTTGGCATTCAGAGGTTGCCCCAGACAAGCAAGGGCTGGGGATGCTAGTGCTAAGTCTGCGTCTTTAGAGATCTGATCAGTCTGGATCAGATCAGCTGGGCTCAAGAGAGGGCAATGAGGCCACACTGCTTGAGATATTCACTCATTCATCATATCACCATCCATCTTGTCAGAAAAGAAACAGGAGGCTCTGTGATGTCCTAGATCAGGGCCTCTCAAAGCTAAATGTACATAAAAATTACCCAGGATCTTGCTAAAATGCAGATGCTGATTTAGTAGGTCTGAGGTGGGGCCTGAGTGTCTGCATTTCTAACAAGCTAAAGGTCATGTAGATGCTGCTGGTGAGCAGACCAACTTTATTTATTTATTTATTTATTTATTTATTTTCCCCCCAAAGCCCCAGTAGATAGTTGTATGTCATAGCTGCACATCCTTCTAGCTGCTGTACGTGGGACACGGCGTGGCCGGAGAAGTGGTGCATCGGTGCGCGCCTGGATCCGAACCCGGGCCACCAGCAGCAGAGCATGCGCACTTAACTGCTAAGCCACGGGGCCGGGCCACAGACCAACTTTAAGTAGCAGCATTCTAGAAAGAATTCTGAACTCGAAGTCAAGAGACTTGAGATCCAGTCTCAGCTCTAAACTTAACTAGCAGGTTGACACTAAGTCAC